TACATAAGTAAAGGGTATCTGCCACCATCACTCACTCACTCAGGCTTGTATTCTGTAGAGGAAAGAATGGGAGGAAACAGGTGTGGTGAGCTTCTACATATCAAGCCCCGATTGTTGAGCGTCTAATCAAGAAACAGTGCGTTTCGAGCCCTGACGATTACCATAGCCGCTCAAATTCGCCAAAAAGAAGACAGATCAAGAGGAAGGGCAAGTCCCAAATGCATTGATCCGTAGATAGGTAAGAGTCAAACAACGATGTCCCTGTCAAACAGGCCGATCTGTATCTCTACCATACTGTAGTTCCATCCAATGTTTTCGTCCGAATTTCACCCGCCCGCCTGACAGCTCTCAGCTCTCAGCTCGACCCAGCCCGGCCCGGCCCCGGACAAAGCGACCCGACCCCTGTTCCACACTATACTTAGTCGGCGATCATATAACTGATTGTCATGGTTAAGATCACCCAGACAACACAGTTTCTAGGTCGGCACGACAACCCGGTCTCCGGATGGATGCTCCGAATGGGATTATGTATGTAGTACATGTAACCGTGACATTGATAATAGGCGGTGGTAGTGGGTGCAGCTGTACAATGTTTGGTAGGGAGACTAAAACAGGGAAACAGCGTTCTCTTCTGAGATTTCTTGACAATCGAGCTGATTGAAAATGGTAGCCCAGAAGCTGCAATGACCTGAATATGAAATATTCTTCATGATGGATTCCTAACTAGGATCCACAACATGAATCTTCAGCAAACACTTAACCGCACTCGTGAATGGAATATCGGCTAAGTAGACAGCTGTCATTGCAGTCCACTGCACCATACCCAACCAAGAAAGTGGTGGTCTGATGACATCCCGAAACGAAGACCGGCCCTTGGAAAGTTGGTGATATTGGAAGACTTGTCCTTAGCGCGAAGAAGTCCCAAGAACAAAACAACGAGACAATTCAACTGATGAGATAGAGATAAGGTTTAGCGCGTTTTTTTTCTTTTGGCAAGACGTTTTGTTTTTTAATCGAAATGTCCGTCATTGCTGATCACTGCCTGGTTGGTGGTGGTTTAGGACGTGTGCCAGGGTTTGTTGCTCAGGCTTCAGGGTGTGACGATGCCACGGCGGCGTGTAGGCTGGGCTAGCTGGGCTTGAGGCGCTAGATGAGGGAATGTAACTTTGTCAGTGAATCTGGGGGTTTGGGCAGATGCTACCCTGAGAAATGGATGGGCGCTAGGTATATGCGAGTTTAGACACAACCCAGGAGAAATAAATGAGGAGCGAAGAGCATGGAAGTTTGGACAACGAGAGAAAGAAACAAGAGATGAGTGGATAGAAATAGAAATCTTCGAGGAAGATAATCTCTGGACGGTCTATTCGGAACCTGAAAAAAAAATCGGTGTAAAATAGGTAGACCTGGAGAAAAACTATGTCATCACTAGATGAGCCTTCTGAACATCAACACTAACAACCAACACATCAACGTGCCAAATGGGTCTTTTTTTTTTTTTGGTGTATCCGTTGCTAATGTTTCCTAATCGTCTTTCGCCAGACTCCCTTAACCGGAACAAAGGGAGAAAGAAGAAGCTGGGTTGACCCCGTCATCGGCAGCAGTTCCTGGGTGGGAAACCAGTGAAACTTGGAAGACGATATTCAGACCTTATCCCCAAAGCGTGCAAACTGATGGAGCACCCTAGGAGCCCGTTAATGGAGAGTTTTAAGCGGGCGGATCCAGAATATGATCCTATTATTGGCTGGACCGCTCCTTGGGAATGCGCTACCGACCCACGCGATACCCACAGCACACGTCTTAGCCCAAGTTCCTGGAAGTTACAATGGTTGAAGCAACCCTGGAATATTGAGGGATCCTGGGATCTAATCAACAAAGTGTCGGGGATGGTTTGGATCCAGTGAGCTGGCGGGCCTGAAAATCCTGCGGATCTTGGGGAGTTGGAGGTCGGACAACCTGGAAAGTTGTGTGAATCCCCCAAGAGTTGGATGGGAGCGGACCGCCCTAAAGTTATCACAATGAATGGTGGTTGGCCTGACTATGAGCAAAGGGGGAGGGCCGATGGTTTGAGTATAAGAGGGGAGGCACCCACTCCTATGTCGATCAGTATTGTTCTTCATCCTCAGGCTCTGCTCCAACATCTGCCACGGTCGACAAGATGAGGCTTTCAGGCTCTCTCGCCGTCCTCCTCGCCGGAGTGACTTCCCTCGTATCTGCTATTCCCTTCGCCGGTCCTTCGGAAGAGCTGCCGGAGAAGAGGGGATACTGTCAGAATGGTCCCAAGTCTCGAAAGTGCTGGGGTAACTACGACATCGACACCGATGTCACCTATGAGTGGCCCAACACTGGAGTGACTCGCTACGTAAGCTCGATCCGATGAAGGAGAACTTACTCGAGATTTGATGCTGATACAAGCCAACCGCAGTATAACTTCGATGTCCAGTATGCCACTCTCGCCCCCGACGGCGTTGAGAAGCGGTTGATCACCGTCAATGGCCAGTACCCAGGCCCCCTTCTCGAAGCCAACTGGGGTGACGACGTCGAGGTTAAAGTGTGCAATCACCTCCCAGACAACGGAACCAACATCCACTGGCACGGCATCCGCCAGTTTTACACCAACTATGCCGATGGCGCCACCGCTCAGACCGAATGTCCCATCGCTCCCGGAGACTGCCACACCTACAAGTGGAAGGCGACCCAGCACGGGTCCAGCTGGTACCACTCTCACTATTCCATCCAGTACAGCGAAGGCCTGCTGGGGCCCATTATCATCCACGGCCCCAACACTGCTGACTGGGACATTGATCTTGGCCCTTTCCTGCTGACCGACTACTACCATGACTCCGTGTTTGACATTGCCCAACGGCCGCTGATCAAATCGCTCGGCATCCCTCCCATCGCTGTCAACGGCCTCATCAACGGCAAGAACAACTACAAGAAGGGTGGTCAGCGTGAGCAGCTCAAGTTCACCAAGGGCAAGAAGCACCTTTTGCGTCTCGTCAACGTCGGCTCCGAAGTGACCTTCCGTTTCTCGGTCGACAAGCACAAGATGACCGTCATTGCCGCCGACTTCGTGCCCATCGTTCCCTGGGAGACCAAGACGCTGCTCATCACCGTCGGCCAGCGGTATGACGTCATCATCGAGGCCGACCAGGACGAGGGCGACTACTGGGTGCGCGCCGTGCCCATGCTGACCTGCTTCGCCTTCAACCTCATGGACCACGACATCCGCGCCATCGCCCGCTACAACTCATCTTCGACCGCCGAGCCCAAGTGGCCGCAGAGCAAGCAGTGGCCTCAGCTGGACATCTGCAAGGACGAGGACATTGACAATATTGTGCCCTGGACCCCGCACGACGTCGGCCCGTCGGCCGTGACCAAGAACTTCGACGCGCTCCTGCTCTCGTGGAAGAACGACAGCTATGCTTTGCGCTGGCAGGTCGGCGAGCCCGCGCCCTACAAGCCCCTCAAGGGCAACCCGGTTGTCAAGCAGCTCTTCGACGCCTACCCCAAGCCCGCCAACGTCAGCCGCGACCTGAAGCCCGTAGATTTGACCTACCTCGAGGGAACCAACTGGGTGTACATTGTGATCGAGTCTTTCTTGCCGCTGTCGCACCCGATCCACCTGCACGGCCACGACAGCTACATCCTGGCGCGCGGCGGCGGCATCTTTTTGGGCGACGGCGTCCAGCTCCACACGCAGAACCCGATGCGCAGAGACACGGCCAACCTGCCGGCCAACGGGTTCTTGGTCATGGCGTTCCAGACGGATAACCCGGGCTCGTGGCTTCTGCACTGCCACTTTGAGTGGCACTTGCACGACGGCTTCGCGATGAGCATCATTGAGCGCCAACCTCACGAGATCAAGGACGTGTATCAGAAGAACGGCGCCGAGGCGGAGATGCAGCGGGTGTGCAAGAACTGGGCGGCTAGTGGGCTGGAGAATAGGAACTGAGCCTGAGCATGAGTCTGAGCCCCGGGTTGGAGGATATACCTGCCTTTCTTTTTTTCTAAATCGTTAATGATAATGCTCAACGTTTCTTTTTGTTGGATTTCAAGCTTCCAAGTGCAACAAGTGAAGGGTCCCTAAGCTGACTACACGCAGTGCTCCAGGCGAGGAGTGCACTGTACGGAATCGTTTATCCCCTTGCTGTCAATGTATTGTGAATTCTGTTGTTTGGTGGCGTGCCGTGAAAATCGACGTCGAGTCGAGGGACGAGGTTGGATTAAGCTACCGCCAGGTTCCATGTACTACGGGCATCAAAATAAGCTTGTAAAGCTTGTTGGTAGCAACCACTGCGAGAAGAAGGACGGGACGGGAGTTGCTTTTGAGTTGTTGGCCGATTTTAAGTAGCAAACATTGTCGGACCGGCTCGCACTTTCCAATCTTCCCTTTCCGTCAGAGACAGATCGGATGCAAACGCCAAGACTCAGTCCAGGTACGGGCAATCTGGGTGTGCCTTCCCCCAAACATGCCCTCGATGCCCTAAGAGCGAGATGCACCAAGACTGCAGTGATCACTCGACGATTTTGCAACGAAGAAAGCGCATTCATTCGTCAGACCAGTGCGAAAGCATATGGAAGTCGCGATTAAGTGTTTCAATGTCTTGAAAGCTTTGTCAAAGGCGTTGCATCCATTTCGGTAAGCGCGAGAAAATGTGTGAACGCCGTCGGCTCATGTCATAAGCAGCTTTGACCCTAACCCTCGGTTGGAAGTGGTCGTACATTTGTGACAGCGAGTTCAAGCCCGCCAAAACAGAAATGGGAATGGAAGTGTGGCATGACGAACCAACATCAATTCCTTGATATTCTTCGATTCGATCGTTGGCCCAAGTGCTTTCTCCAATTTTGGACTTTCCGGTGGAAATAAAGCAGTTTCTGTGGTGAATGCCAATGTGAGAGGAGGGTCGCGGGGTGGGTAAGTGGATATGATACAGTGTGAGGGTGAAGTCATTATTTAGAGTTTGATGTCTGATCTTGAGCTGCATTCATGCTCGATAAGGATATAAAGCGGGTGGTCCATCTATCATAATATGGCCATTGATGATCTCCAATTTTGATGCATTTCTAAAGAGGAAAAGGGGTAAAGGACAGGGGATAAACACATAAACAAACCACAGTACACAAACGAACAAAACACACGCAACGAACATACACACACAACACACACACACAACGCAAAGAACGAACGAAACGTATGTACGTATAACACGTAATCTCTTCATTATCATTATCCATAACTCATTACGTCGTGAATCGTAAACCAACGGGGTATTCCTAACCGAAAATAGACAAACAAAACGCTCTCCCCTAAGCCTAGCCTAATTACTATCATTGCGCTTTATTCCGCGTACGTGTGGTATTTCCAATCCCAAATCCAAAAACCAAAAGAAAGAAAGGAGTCATTACAAAACCAAACCTGGCCTATCATCTGCTCATCAGAAGAAGAAGCCTTGTCTATGCAAAAGATAAACCAACCGCGTTACCCCGTGCCTTCGTTTGTTTGTATGTGTGTGAGAGTGTGTCATCCTAGACAATCTTACTGTCATCCGCGCCCAGCTTGTAGGGCTTTCCGACCATGGGATCAACATAGATGCCATGGCCGCTTCCAGTCGCACTGTCGCTGTCGTACGCAACCCTGAGATCCTCAATCTCGTCGCCAACTTCCATCCACTTGTCGCTAACGGCCGGGATGGGGAAGAAGTGGCACAGGACCCAGTAAACGGCGCCCGAGACAAGGAAACCGGCAAAGAAGTTGACGTTGTAGATGTAGGTCGCACCGATCGGAACTTCTCTTCCAACCGCTCCAGCAAAACCGACCACATTAATCAAAATACCGGCAATGTAGGCGGCGTAGGCGCGCCAGTGGATACCCAGGTGTAGTAGTAGGGTCCGGTCTTGCGTCCGTCGTAGAGTTCCTTGACTTCGAGATAACCGCGGCGGACAACGTAGTAGTCGAAAATCATAACACCGGCGATCGAGGAGAGGAAGACGCTATAGGCTGAGAGGTAGGTGGTGAACTGGTTGTTGTCGGTAAGGAGGGTCCAAGGGTTCATAGCCAGACCGACGGCCGCGCAAATGTAACCTCCTCGGCGAATGTTGATATAGCGAGGCAACAAAGCAGTCAGATCTGCGCCAGCGGAAACCGAATTGGCGGCAATATTGGTACCGAGCTGGGCGAGGGAGAAGGCAAAGGAGATAACGAAGACGCCGAAGCGCTCGGCCGAGTTGCCTTCATCCAGAAATTTCTCCAGCAGGTCGAGCGGATCCCAGACCGCTTCGCCATATATCGAAAACGAACAGGATGAGACAAGAATGCCGATGAGCGAAGTGATGGCGAAGCTCGTAGGAATCGTGAGGAGCTGGGACCAGAGCGCATCCTTGGGCTTTTTGGCGAAACGAGTAAAGTCGGGGTCGTTGACGACGAGAGTGGCGAAGTTGGCGATGGAGCTCATGATGCCCTTGACGAACTCCCAGGCAAGCTCGCTGCCCTTCAGGGAGGATGGCTGACGAATGATGGGGCCAATGTCGCCGGCACGGACAATGGCCCAGATCATAAAGGCAATGGCGGCCGACGGAACGAAGTAGGCCTTGACGGTGAACAGATGGCGAATCTTGTGAACAGGGAACCAAATGGCGGGCAATGAGCACAGCCAGAAAATGAAGAAAGAGACAAAGTCGGCTGTCGTCGTGCCAGATGTGGTAGAGAAGGTGTTGGGAATCGTGTCGCGGTCCTGAACAGCACGGTTAGAATAAGCAGAATATCACGATAATGGGAAAAGAGTCACTTACCCAGGCCTTCCAGATGGACCGGATCATGAGGTAAACGCAGTGACCTCCAATATAGGCCTGAACACCATACCAAATGCAAGCTATTTGCTCAGAGGTCAGCAAAGGGCACTAGTGCGGTGAAGTGAGAAGACTTGTTCATGTATGAACCAACATGAGACGAGCGGAGGAGTGAGAGCCACATACCCATCGCAGCTCTGTTAAGCACAGGCCACAAGCTACCCCAGATACCAAAAGAAGATCTGCTGGCGACGGGGAAACCAATGTGATAAGTAGCACCGATGCGACCGGTCATGCAGATGAAGCAGCCCGAGATGGCATAACCGATCCAAACACACAGCCACGACTGCCACCATGACAGACCGTTCACCATCATGGACGACGAAATCATCCAGGTGTTGATGTTGAACGAGTCAGCAATCCAAAAGCCGACAAAGTTCCAAGCACCCCATGTTCGACGCTCAGGCTCCACGGGCTTCAGGTCGTGGTTCGTCAACTGTTGTAAGGAAAACGGCAAGTGTCAGTCTTGGGCCGCAATAATTCCAACAAATGAGAGTGCGATGAGATTGAGTGAGGAGAGGATCTCTGTGATGTCAATCTCAGGGCAAAGAGGCAAGGTTTCGCACCATCAACTGGGCTGTGGTGAGCCCTGGCTCGGCTTCGACGGCCAGCCGGTCCGACCAGCGTCCTACGGCGCTGCGTTTCTCTGCCATCCTTCCTTTCTGGTGATGATTGGTTGGTGAGAGGACTTGAGCTGGTCAGGTATTAGGCGGCGTGGTCGTCGAAACGAGAGGCGAAGGAGGGGCGGTGGTTCGGCGATGGAAGCACGAGATTTTTCTTCTCTCGAAGCAACACACGAACTTCTCTCTCTCTCTCTCTCTCTCCTTCAGAATGGTTGCCATGGCATACGTATCTATCTATCTACCTACCTACCCCCTTTTTTCTCGCGGCGTGGCCTTTTGGTCAGTTTTTTTCCTTTTTTTTCTCGCGGGCCGTGGGCCTTTTTGGCAGTTTTTTTTTCTGCGGGAGGATCCGGTGGAGGCGGCGCGGCAACACGTGAATGCGGGGAACGGTAGTCGAGCGAAAAGCCGACAAAAAGAGGGTTGGGCGACGACGTCGACCCTCGTCTTTTTCCGCCAACGGAGACCGGGTGGAGCAAAGACCGATTGAGACTCGGTCGGACGATTGGTACCGATTGTAGCCCTTCGTTCCAAGAAGACAAGGCAGGGGCTCTCACTTGGCTCTTCTCTTCAGGGGGGACCTGGACGGCTTGTTGACTCGAGGAATAACCGGGGTGGAGCACGGAAGGTCGCCGGATTTGTCTAGAAAAAATGGAATGGGACTGGAGCAGGGTGAGTTTTATGCTCCACGGGCCTCGTTCTGCTGGAGGGCTAGGGTTCGACAGGTGGAAAAGGTGGCAAACCTGTGCTCGATATTGACGGACGAGAAGGGGATGGATCAAGGGAAAGGGGGCAACACCATGGTTTTATCTGCATCGAGGATGCTCTCTGCAAAGCAATGGTGGTTGTCAGGTACCACTGACATATTGACATGATATCAGGGCAACCAATGCAACACTATCTTGCTTGCAAAGATAGACCTACCCTGCCTGCATATTGAACACTGCAGAAGGCATGCCATGTGCGGCACCTAAAGTGCGCTTTCTTTGTTTTAGTTCCGCCGGTTGGGGTAAAAACGTGCCGGCAGAGAGCAGCGAGCTGAGCACTGCGGGAGACGGACGGGAAACGGGAGAGTGTCCGTATCGTCTCGGCCGGTCCGCGAGTGTATTTCCAATACAGAGTGGATTTGTTCCGAATACCAGACACCTTGATGGTGTCGATGTGGAAAACTGAGTCGAGCCCCCACGCAGCGCCACGCTAGCATGACTAGGATGTCCCAGAGAAGGGGAGAATGAGGTCCATCTTCACCCAAAAGATCGGTGAACCACGGGCTCATGGGCCGAGAGAGGCGCGGCGAGAAGGCTTGAGGGGGGTTGGAAGCTAGAGAAGCCCTGTCCGCTCAGGCAGAGAATCAAGGGCAGCCATGGGCGGCGGTCCAGTGCTCTGTGTGGCCTTTGTGTGGTTGACTTGGGAACCCGAGGGCAAGAAGATGTGTTGCAAATGATATCAGAAGCAGTGAAAATCATTGATGATTTCGGACTGAACCCGGCCACGCGGGGCATCCAAGAACGGTAGCAACGTGTAACGGTAGCGTCAGTCAGTCCAATCGAGCAGAGAAGCACGTTTTTCTGGCACGGAAGAAGAACCAGCGAGTGGAATTCCAATGCAATCTTTCAATCGGAAGTTCTTTCTGAAGAGCAAAGAAAACGAAAAAGCCGCTGGTGAGTGGTGACGGCGTGGCACAACTGGCTGCTTCCTGACCTGATCAAGCTTAGACCGGACCCAGCTTCCCTTAATCCCCTCATCTTGATTCGTCAATCTGTTATCCGTTTAGGGATCGATAAGTGAGCTTTTTTTTTTTTTTTTCCGTTCCAGTTGTGGAGTCCCACTTCTATCCCTCTGTCGGGCTTGGCTGGCACTTGGAAATGGCTGGCCTTCTTGGCAGAAATGATGCAGGGCTCTGCGCTGGTGCTAACGGCATCGCTGCATATCTTTGGCTGTGCACTGCATAAGCGCTCTCTTAGTGGGCCTAAGTGTCCGTAGAAAGGCAAGAGATAAGCAAATAAGCTATCAACGCTATCTTGCAGCTATCTCACACTATTTTGCCCCGCACTCACTGGTCTAAACCTAAAAGAGATTACTCCATCCCATCGAGTCACCCTTGGAGTTTCCATTTGACAACCAGACACCATTCATAATCATCCGATCTTTCCCATTGCCGTGTCAAAGCAATTCAACCGGTTGACAACCATGGCCATCACCAGCCTCTCGGGCCGGCCAGGCACGGATCACGAGCTGTTAACGGGCCAATTCTGACTTGTACCCCATTCATCATCGCATCTTTTGGTCTGATCCCCCGATTCTTAGTAACTGAACATGGTAACAAGTCGGAAGATTCATTTACGATTTCTTCTCTTAAAACACCCCTTTTCAAACTCCCCACGCGCCACGCAATTCTCTCCGGCACTACTGCACCGATATGCACAATGTACCCCGCCATGCTTCTGGATTCAAGTTTCACACCCAGATCCCGACCTTCACAACTGTCGGTTAACCTGAACCTGGGGCGTCTACATTACAGTACCGCTTCCTCTCACTGAACTGGGTTTTATCTACCCGCAAAAACTAAACCTTCTCTAGTTTAGATCGATGGCACGGTTAGATCATCTGCTCGAACCGCTGCAGGTCACTTGCATGCCAGCTGTCAAGTCAAGCGCTAAGTGGTTCGCTAAGTCCGCCGGCCACGATGGCACTCCAGTTCTGAAGTGACTCCCGGATACGCTAGACTATAAGAGAGTTAGATAAAATCCAGTTGAATGAGAGGATGCGGTAGTGTACATACCGCACGCGGCATGCGACACCGGAAGCGAATGTGGGATTCCAAGCCTTGAAGGGGTGACCTTTACATCTCGACGTCGCACCATGAATGTTTTCTGGGATACCGTAGATCTTGCTGGCGTTTGTTGAATTCTACGGTCCCAAAAACATGAGAGCCTCGAGCCTTGTTATCTACGGTTTTTCCACCTCGGAAGCTGAGTTGATACCGTTCAGTTCTTTTGTTGATGTCCCGCCATGGATCTCGAGTTGCCACATCCCGCGGGTGTGGTTCGAGCCTTCCCGGGTTTGGGGGTTTCAACCGGGAGTTTTGGTACCAGTTGACCGGGGAGAGATCTAAATGTTGGCTGTAGCTACAGTCACACCAATCACCACATGCCTCCTCGTCCAACTCTGATGCATGTCACACAACACCGTCACTTGGTGTGGTGATAGCAGTGGCATTGAGAAACATTGTTGGCCTTTAAGTTGTGGTCAATATAAGCATCACGGACATCCCGAGCGCGGCCACCCATGGTTCGCTCACGAGGCTGCTGATGGCGTCCTGAAGTGAACTTTAAAGGTCACAGGATTTTAAGTGACGAAATTTACTTGCGGCATTCAGATCCAGAATGTTAATGAGTGCGGGGGTTCTCCTCATTGATGGTATCCGCCCCTTCACGCTCAGGAACCGACCAAACCATTACAGTTCCGGTTTGCGAATGGGGTGACGTAGTTCATCTTCACACTTGACACTACGGCAGAAGGGCCGAAATAATGAAGATCGAGCTCACGCAAACCGCGTGACTGTGTGTTCATGTTAGCACTCTCACTCTCGTCTCCGTTAACGGCACGCCCTCTGGGCGGTTCAATAACTTACCCATACCCCGAATGCCCAACAAGAGATAACAAGCACGTTGCTCCGGAAAACCTACGGAGATATCGAACTTGGCGATCTTGCAGCTTTGTGGCTAGTTGCAGAAATTTGGTCCGGAAACATACCGGTATGGTATCGCCGGCCATGGGTGAGTGGCAGTGGAAAACATTCACGGGAGTTGAACAGCTTCGATCCTTCCGACCGGGAATTCACAGGCATCGGTACCTCTAGATACCTGGTTGGTCGGGCTATTATCGGTCGAGGAACTGAGTTCTACGAACATCACTTCTGCAGTGGCAGACCAACGTGGCTTCTGGACTTCTACATTGCTCTTTCCGTTTCCCCTGTCTCATGTTAGTTCCTGCCGTGGATTGACACGGATTGACCAAGAACCTGGGGCTTTCTGCCTTGTTCTTTCCATTCTTCTGGCCAAAGCTCCAACATCCTTCCTGCCGTTTCACTCTCACCCAGTCAGGGCAAAGCCCCAAATGGACTCAAAAAGAATCTCGCAATCCTCAAGAAGGTGGGATATTTTTCAGTCTGAACCGAGGATTACTACCATAGTAACCAACAATGATGTTTCCCGTCGCACATCTTCTGTACTCGATTTCTTCCCAGTATCATGACGATCCAAATGTCCCCTCACTGGGCGACTCCGACACATCAATCTCGCCATCCTCATCCACGCCAACTACATACGTACACTTCTCCTGGTCCTCACGGATCTCCTCTCTTCTATCGAGATACTCGTTCACAACCGGCATTCTGACGTCGTCACTCACCGTGTTTGTGATGCTGCGTGCCCCCAGCTTCGGCACGTATCCGTTTGTAGCCAGGGCTTTGCAGACCGAGTACCCACGCCGGACTCGGAGGTCGAGGTCACCAACCATATGAGACTTGCTCACTACGTCGCTAACCTTGACTGGCTTGATCACATCGCGGCCGAATTCGGCTAAAATCCTGTCTGCCACCGCGGCCTGTTCGGAGGGAGAGAACGTGAGGAAAGGGATAAAGCCAGAGATACGACCGGTAAGTGGTTCCTTGGTTTGCAAGTATCAGTATCATGGCTTGTTGTCTTCAACTTTATGAGAAGCTTACCTACACCAAATTTCGTTGCGCTCTCATCCCGGATCGACCTTGACAGCTTTTTTACGAGCCTTTGTCCTTCTTTTCCAGGCTCGTCGGAAAAAAGATTCTTCTCGTGGGTATTGCAGAAAGCGTGAATCGTGTCGTCAAACGCATTTGTTGCCATAATCCATATCGTCTTCTTGCAGTCGACCGACGTCGGCAGCTCTTTTCTGAGATCTGAAGAGGTCCCTCCATGCAGTTAACAAAAGTCAGCAAGAGGCGCCCACGCTAAGTTCGGGGGTCAACGCTTACCATCATCAAACGGCAGAAGAAGCGTATTTCGGATATCCTGATCCATCTTCTCGACTTCGTCCAGAAAGACTATACTGCGTCTCCCGCTATGTTCTGCAAGGAAGTTATTCAGCTTGGAGCCGTCTTTGTAGCCGGCATATGGTTTGACAGGTCCCCAGAGGTTAAATGGTGAGTGCATGTTGGTGCAATCGACGGTGAGCAGATCCAAAGATATGAGATTGCCAAGCTGACGTGCCAGCTCCGTCTTACCGTGCCCACTGGGTCCAGCGAACAAAAGTATAATGGGCTTTTCTATCGGGAGGGAGAGATAACTATGCAGTGAGAGGGTCAGCAAAGACAAAGTCAAGGCTGGTATCCAAGATGATTGTCACAAGCAAAGAAGAACCGTATGTCCTTACTAAAGCAATTTTTCAACGACATGAGTGATGGCAGCAGTTTGTCCTATGAGGAAGTAGTAAGCGCCCAACAAATCTTCGGCCTTGTGTAGCTTGGTGACCTGTCTCTTCGCACCCGAAAAGCGGTTCAGCCCAGCAGCGCGGTGAAGAAGGTATCGCTGCTCAAAGCGAGAGTTGAGAGTGGCCGTAAGACGCCTTCGAACTTTGGGAGTACACCACTTCTTGTTTTCATCCTCCAGATTCTCAAGCTCATCAGTTGAAGGGCCGTCGTCAGGCAGATCCCTCTCCAAAGGAGTGTGGAAAGCCTTGGGAATGCCAGTCACAGACGCCCCCAGGCCAAGAAGCGTTCGAAGGATTGCCGTCGTATCGGTGGCATACGAGCTCCCAAGGGCAATGACATATGCAACCAGTGGAAACGGCTTTGTCGACCCGTAAGTGGCGTTCACGTCACCCCCGTACTCGGCCCACATCCTCACCAACTCAGAGCTGAGCGTCTCGACAACATAAAAGAAGCCAGGAAACCCCAGGACCAAGCCGTTCAGCCTCTCGCGCAGCTTTTTCGGTTTCATATGCTCCCGGTAGCGAGTGAGCCGGCTGCGAATCTCTTCACAGCCCTGTCCTGCCTGGATATCGCCCACGAGCTTTTCGAGGTCAAATTCATCTTCGCCTCCTGAACCAAGATTGCTGGACGAGCTATTGGGAGTGTTTAGTCCCGCATCGCTCCCGTTATCAGAACCGCCGCCACCGTCCAATTTTGAAGTGGTTTCACCGTGGACTCTGGGCAGGGTGAGGTCCCACTCGTCGTCATCGCCGTTGTTGTTGCCTCGAAGCAAGTATGATGTACCAAAGCCACACTTTGGTTGACCATGCCATGTCAGGCTCTGTTCTCTAGGTAGCCAGTGGGTATGTTGGACTTACACCAAGGTCGATGGCTCTTTCGACATCACCACCAGCTCTCTACACGCCGAAAGAGGTCAGGTCAGGGCGTTGATCATAGATGAAGGCCACGAGAGGGAGGAAAGCTATTCAAACTTACCCACAGAAGCTTCTTAGCAGCGTTTTGTCTGCAGTTAGCTTCATTCATAACCCGACGAACAGCGAAGATGCCCGGGCCAGGCTTTCCAGTCGATGAGTTGACTACCGGCGCATCGGTTATACCATCAATGGCCGAATTGTTGAATTCCGCCATCTTCGCATTTTCGCGTTCACGCCACGATGGGCCTCGAACCCGTTTTTGCTGTGACATCGTGGAGTTAAATGCCCCTGTCGCCCCCAGACGTTCTGCAGGTTTACGCCATGATGGGTTTTGACGATTCCCAGCCGATACTTGCTGTGACATTATGGAGTTGATTCTTGCTCCGGACTCGTCAGTATTAGGCACAGCCGAAAATGAAATACTTTAAGTCACCTGTTTTTTTTCATCAATACGTCAGTATGTATATAGTGGCGGATATCGAAAAAAGAAGACCTTCACCTACAGTCTTCAACTTGGAGCACGCGAGTAGTTCCCTTACTGAGCAGAAAAGTGCCAACAAACAACCAACACCAGAAAACGTTGTCTGTTGCAGAGGTGTCCAAGAATCCGTCACAAGGAAGGAGACACTTCTCCAAATATATGCCATCATGATCTGCCTTTCTCCGGCGTTGAGCGCGCCTCGCCGTTTGCTCTCCTCTGGCTTGTTGGATGCCTGACGGCAAGTCACTGCTGGCCTCCATCGTCTGACCAATGATAACACCGCCCATGGTGTTTTTGTCAGAGATGCGCTGGGCCTCACGCAGATGTTAAAGGAACAAAACCATCGGGAACAACAAATCTCGCAGGTCTCAAGATAATTGGGAGCGGAATACCTCGCGGAGAGAGTATATCTTTGTGGAGGCACTCTCGAACAATCAATTTCCCCTCGATGAGCTTCACGCTAATGTGAGAGGCCGGGGTGACAGAGGCCACACATTGCGTTCTGCTCAAGAATTGTGGATCGTCGAAGTTGAGCATTTGAGTGGCTAGGTCTGGGCTTATCGCATTTAACTCTATTGCCGAGTCAGATCCTAGAATATGTATGTTGCAGTTGGACGAGTGCTGGGTAACAGCTCATCAGAACGCAAACACCAGGAGGCTGGAGGCCGTATCACTGTCATTGGTAGTTAGTTGAGATGTACCATATGTAGGCTGGTCCTGCAGCGTTCTCCAATTCCAAGGAAAGCAGAAGGTTTTGTTTGGGTGCCCAGGATAAGTCAACGGGCCTATCACATGCTATTGTTTTCTGGTAACAGGGAGTGAAGCAGGAGGGACCCAAAATTCTTTTTCCGAAGTCGACACCCAAATCAAGGAGCCAATATCAAGGTGGTGGTATAAGAGCAACATCGTATACCTAACATATCGTGCGACGGGTGCATCCAAGCAACTGTCTGTAACATTATGACAGCAACATTCACCCTGGAGAGATTGAATGATGGGCAAATTATTATTTATTTTGTTTTTGGGTTGACGTTGACCTGTCAAAACATCTCAGTGGAGTGGGATTTTCACATGCGCAGATATGCTCCCGTCTCGATGACGTCAAGCATCCCGCTTAGATTCAGGAACCACTTTTAGAGCTACAACAACAACAATAAAGAAGAGAAGGAGCGCCCGTCGTTCATCCCATCAAACGGTTTTAACCCAAGTCTGTTCCCTTCATCTTGTTCGCTTCTTAGAGCGGTCAACGAAAAATCTTGACTATTTCAGGAAAACCATTGACTCGACACAGCCCTCTGCTTGGCTGTGTTACTAAAGTCCACCACTGGTTTCCCATCAAACCAACAGCAGCCTTCAAACAATCATATTCTCAACAACCACACCATCTAAGCCATCGTTAGGATGACGCTCCAATCGCGAATTCAGAACCCCATCCTATACCCCTACTTTTCATCTTTCAAGTCATCCAGTTTGTGCTGGACAAGCTTCTCTCGCCCACACCTCCTAGTCCCAAGGCACATCTTGGTCGGCCCAGGATCGCAGTCATTGGTGGTGGTATCACCGGCGTTACGAGCGCTGCCCACTGTATTGGTCATGGCTGTGATGTCCAGATCTTCGAGGCCGGAAAGGAGGAGAACATTGGAGGAATCTGGAGTGTAAGTGATTACCCGACTTAATGCCAATAACGCAAACGACACCACAGTGTCTAACGATTCGGTCCCCTCCATCACACAGAGAGTAAACAACACCTCGGGCCTACAAATCCACTCCCTCATGTACCGCTTCCACCCGTCGGTAAACTGGAAGCAAGGCTACCCGGACAAGCACCAAATCCTCTCCCAGGTCCGCGAGCTCTGGAAGCGTTACCGCCTCGACGAGCGCACCGTCTTCGAAACCCCCGTCACCAGCGCCCGCCAGGACCCCGAGACCAAGAAATGGACCATCAACAACGACGCCGAAACGTACGGCCAATTCGACGGCATCATCTGCGCCGTCGGCACCTGTGGCAAGGCCAAGGTCCCCCACATGCCCGGCATGGACTCCTTCCAGGGCGAAATCCACCACTCGAGCCAGCTGACGGGTAAAGCCGCCAAGGGTAAGACGCTGATCATCATCGGCGGCGGCGCCAGCGCCGTCGAAAGCCTCGAATTTGCCGTGGAAGAGGGTGCTGCTCAGGTATACGTGCTCGCCCGCTCCGAGAAGTGGATCATCCCCCGCCACCCCATCGTCAACATGCTGCTGGCGCTCAACATCTTCGGACAGGAGACGCGGTGCAGCTGGATCCCCGAGTTTTTCTTGCGTAAGCTGTTTTACCGGGAACTGGAGGACATTGCCCCGCCCTCGGACAAGAAGGGTCTCTACACTGATACGCCCATGGTCAACTCGGAGGTGATGAACCAGATCCGCAGCGGCAAGGTGAAGTGGCTGCGCTGCGACATCGAGGGCTTCACCGAGAACGGAGTCAAGATCAACCGCCGCGAAAAGGGAACCAACCCCAGCGACCCGGGCCAGACGGAGGAGATCGATGGCGACATGGTGGTTATGGCTACCGGATACGAAAGGCCCAAGCTGGACTTCTTGCCCAAGGAGTGTCTGGAGGGCGACTATAAGCCGCCCAGCTGGTACCTGCAGACGTTCCCGCCGCAGTTCCCGAGCGTGTCAGCCATCAACTGCACGTACATGAACGGCATCGGATCGGTGGGCAACTGGCACATTGGTATCTACACCAGGCTGCTGTTGGTCTTTTTGCTCGATGACCGCACCCGCCCTTATCCTTTCTGGATGAAGCGGTGGATTGACATGACGACTTTCCTGAAGGCGAGAAGCCCTGTTGGGCCGTTTGAGTTCTTTACGTACCTCGAGCTCATGTGGTGGTTCTTTTTCTCCATCGCCATCAACCCGTTCCGCTGGAAGTGGGCGTTCTTTGTCTTCTTTGGTCTCGGCGAGTACTTGCCCATGAAGGTGGTTGCGGCTGAGGATAGACTGCGCAACAGGTTGCAAGCGAGGGAGGCGGAGGATCAGGGTACTATGGTGAATGGAGTCCACCATGTGCGTGAGGAGGAGATTCGTGGAAGGACTATGCGTATTGTAACCTGAGTGGAGTGTTGACAATGGCGAAGAGTTGTGAACAGGGTCGAAAGCTTGGTATCGACAGGAGATTTAGGATCGGGACAACAGTGACGATCGGAAAGAATAGGTCAAGCAGAACGGAGTCGAAGGAGAATTCAGCTGAATTCGATGATATGGTGGCCCGTATAGAGGACCAAGAATGACAATAAATAGAACAAAGATCCAAAACATGTTCCTGTTTCTTAACCACCTCTTTACCTGCCCTTGCCTCTGTCTCTCCTGCCGCCCTCCAACACCTTGAGTTTCTTCTGGAACCTTTCACCCATAGCAACTCCACTGCCACCATCGCCCTTGGGTCCATCGGTGGTATCGAAGCCACGCTTCCTGCTCTTCTCCAACAGAGCCTTGGTTCCCTTGCGATCACGACCACCAGAGGTAAGTCTGTTGATACGATCCACACCAACGCCCAAATCGCGCCAGTCCTCGCCACCAAACTGCATCTTGCTGCTGCGACCCTCGAGCGCGCGCTGCTTGGCCTTGTCCTTCTTGCCCGCCGTCGGCAGACGCACAAAGTTGGCTTCTTCGTACGTGCGCCTCTCCTCCTCCACCTTGCGCTCCTGAACCGTCTTGGTGCGTCGGCCAAAGTTGACAATGGTGGTACCAATACTGGGCTCCGCCACGGGCGCCGTCGACATCTCGTCCGCAATGAACTCGTCGAGCGTCGCGCTCTTGAGCGGTTTCTTGTCGCCTCCACGCTCGCGGCGCTCTGTGGTGGTCGTCGGCATGACGGTCGGCGCGATGCGCGGAGGACGGTAGACGCCCGCCGCGTCGGTGGACTTGCCCACGCCGACCTTGGGCCTGTCTTCGGTGCCAGGGGCTCCGTTGCGGACAAAGGAGGAAATGTTGGGGCGGAATTGCAGGTCGGATAGCTTCTGGCCTGAGGGAGCGGCGGCTTCGTCCTCGTCGCCGGATTCACCACCGGCCTCGGACTCCGAGTCGGGCTGCTCGGCAGCCTTCGCGGCGGCCTCGGCTTGCTTGGCGCTGCGCTCGGCGTCGTCGGCGGCGCGCAGCACCTTGTCGATCTGGTAGCGCAGCTTGTCCTCGAGCGGGCGCACACCCTTCTCCAGGTAGAGACGGAGCTCGACGAGCTTCTTGACCACGAGGTCGTCTAGGTTCTGGTCGTCGTCGTCGTCATCGTTGTTCTTCTTTTGAGTGCCGGTGCGAGCCTGACGGAGCTTGAGGAGGATGAGGAAGACGAGGTTCTGGAGGTAGGAAAGAAGGAGCTCGTTCTTGACGTCGAGGAGAGAGATGCCGTCCTTGGGAGCGTCGATGGTCGAGATCTTGGGGGCGAGTTCGAGGGCGGATGTCAGAGACTTGGTGAGCGTGTCCAGCAGGGCTGGAAGGGTTGCTGGTGCCGCCATGTCCGTGTTGCGGTTGAGTGTGATGTGTCTCGCACCGGTTTCGATCTCGAGATGGTGGTGATAAGGTCGGTTTCTCGATGCGATTGACTTGCAGAGAAATTCTTCTGGGGAACTTTTTTTGCCTGCCGGTGCCGCCCTGCCTGTGCCAAGCGCACTTTGGTGGATTTGTTTTTGGAGGCTTGGCAAGGCTAGTCTCTATTGTATGGCCTCCTTACACCCACCCCCCCGTACCAAATGTCAGACCATTAGACCCACTAGTTCTTGGTGGTCCAGGTTTGGCGCGCCGTACAACGGAATCTAAAGCTGGCAATTTTGGGAGCGTCTGTTATTAGACACTAAAGACTAGATCACTTCTATCATATTAAGGCGGGCGCGGGACCTGTAGCTCGTCATCGTCGTCGTAGTTTATGTCCTTGAGCATCTTCTTGCTCCACTGTGCCGTCTTCAACGTTCCCATGACCCTCACCAAATAGAGCATCGAGTTCCACCTGATGCGCGTGTTCGCATGTCAAACAAACGTCTGCTTGCTGTAGACAACCTCTTGAATGACCGGAATCCGCCTGAACCAGTCAAGTTTGACTGAGCCTCATCACCCGCTGGTAGCACATATTCCTCGTAACCCATAACCTGGTGTCTTCATCGTCCACTCCGGAGTCATCAACACCAAGCGTATACCGAAGTAGGAAAATGACCGTATCAAAGAAATCCGAACTGCTACCGGCAAAAATCTCGAATAGCTCCTCCCTCCCTTTCCTCTCCTCTTCCATCTCCCCGGTCGGAACCACGCCCGACCGCATCAACACCACCCACGCAAACCTCGTCACCTCGTCCCTTTCCAATCTCTCCACAAAGCTCTCAGGTGTCAACCGCATCATTACCCCCTCCCAATTCCCCTCTCTCCACTCCTCCGCCTCCTCCGTCGCTTTCCCAGATGTCATCTACCAAAGACCATCAAGTCATCCGTCAACAGATCGTCTTCCAGGCGTAGTAATGTCGAATCCAACCCCAACTCTCCTCCTCCCATTCCCCCCCTGCTCACCTCCCAACCAAACCTCCACCAAACTCGACGCATCATAGATATCCCTCATCAGCGAAACTTGAAAGACAGCTCGGCAAGATCATCCTGGTTGATGCAGAGTATGTCGGTCCAGAGGAACTGCCCCTCCTTAAGGGAAGGGTCGGCGCGAAAGGCGTGCAGAGCAGCGTAGAGGTTTATGGTGACGCTGAAGTTTTCCACTACGTCTTCCGAGACTAGACAGGAGGGAGGTGGGTAGTAGGTTCCTCTGATAAGTCCTCGTGGTGGTCGATGGATTAAAGAAGCTCAGCATCATGGAAGATGACGGTTATGGGAAGGGTGTGTCGGAGGTCACCCCAGCAGTACGAGAGGGCAGTGAAGGGTTGGCATCGGGTGGCGGCGAGTTTGACGCGGTAGTTCACATTGTATGGGAGGGAGTGCTGTGTGGTCGTTGCCGTCGTTGGTGGTGGTGGTTGGGGTTGCTGGTGAGGTAGAGTGTGTGTGTGGCACTTTGCGGATTCTCAGAAGCCGGATTTCGTCGCGGCCTAGAGGTGAGTATTTGGTGTAGTCGTTGGGAATGGTTCGGATGTATTCGTTCTTTTGTGGTGGCATGGCGAGATTTGTGATGACGCTTCTGACGGGAATGTCAGGTGGTTTACAGGTGGAGGAAGAGTAATGGTTCTATGAAATGGAAGAAGCGACGCTTTGGGTTGGCCGATCAGGTATCTTTGTGGCGTTGAGGCTCATGTGTAAGAACTAGCCCAACTAAGGCAGAGAGATGTAGGCTGCGGTAGAATTGGGGGTGAAATTGACTTGCAATGCAAAGTGTAGGCTTAAAAAGAATACTTTTATGGAAAGGCATAAGGCTCCCAGATCCAGTCCCTCTTCACTGACAGCAACTTACGGAACATGGGAAGAGATATTGAGCATGTGGTGTTATGATATGTAACTTTATCTTGTTAGAAGTTGCGCATTGAATCACGCTTTATTCATACAACGGTATTGGAGTGCCTAATTACTGTTAGCACATAGTCGGTCTAAGCGAGAATTAAGGTCACGTACCTGCTCGGCCGTAGCTCTTCCACTATCATACTTAACAAGAGCACTTATCAGTTCTCTCCACTCCTCGGTTACATCTGGAAGGATCTTATCCCATGAGCGAGCCTCGAACGTGCGGTAGATGTCAAAGGGAGGCGTCCTAAAGCTGACGGCTTCGGGCCAGCTCTCCCTCGTGGGCGACCCAATCGTCTTGAATATGCTGAGAATGAGACCCAGTTGGTTTCCGTCCTCATGCGCAGCTCGTGACTCGAACAGCTGCTTGTTCGGCCCTTCTCTGCAGCACTCAGCAAGCATCACGCCCGCCCCCCACATGTCTACAGCAGGTCCATACGAGTGGTTCCCGAACAAGACTTCAGGGGCTCGGTAGGGACCGGTACCGATATCCAAAATCTTGTTGTCTGCGGGCTCCGTGGCTGCTGAGAGAGTCGGATGCCAGGAGGCGCCAAAGTCGGAAAGGTAGGCTGGCCCTGTGGGGGATTCGAGGAGAATAGCAGACGGCTTGACATCGCGATGGATAATTCCCTGGCTATGTAGAGAGGCCAAAGCAGTAAACACATGTCTAAAAATGATGCGGATGTGGCTGTCGGTGAGCGGTACCCGCTCCCGTAGACTCTCAAGGGTCAGCGGCATGTAGGGAAAGACCAAGACCAGACGCTGCTCGTGATCGTGAAAGCTGTCGAGCAGGGGGATGCAGGACTTGCTCAAGAGGCCCAACAGCTTTGCCTCTCGCGTGGGGTTGTGAGGCTCGATGTTTCTTGTCTCAACGATGACTTTGAGTGCCTTGTCTCCGGCTCTGTAGACATCGGCAGTCACGCCGCTGGTGATGTAGTGGCAGTTGGGATAAGCACCAATTGTGACTCCATGGTCTACCCCGGCGTTGTCATGTCCGTTTTGTTCGTTAGCAACAGCCTGAGCGGCCTGATCTGCCTCGGAAGATCCAAGATGAGACTGGTTGCAAAACGCATCGTACTCCTCTCTGGTGCGTGCAGACTCGTAGGCGCTTTTCTCTAGAGCAAATGCGTTTTCACTCAGCCCGGCCGCAGCCACAAACTGCTGTCTTGTTAATTGATAAGCATACGTCTGCGGTGGTGTTCACGGAGCGACTTACAGTTTCTGGATACTGTCATATCTTTCAGTGGCCGTCAAGCCTTGCTTCCACGTGTTCTCGGCATTCTCGGGAGATTGGGACATGTTGAATTCTTCCAGTCACCCTTCCTTCCTACCTAGCTTCCGGTTCTCCTCTCGACCAACCCTCAACACACCATCTAGGATCCCGAGTGGGAACAAGAAAAGACGGTGGACTTTGGGTTCCTAGCTCAAAAGGATCGTCGGATCTCGAATCTGGGGTCAGACTTGGCGTCAGGTGAAAAGTCTCAGCTTTTCGATTTTCGGTCGAGGTACGCACGATTACGCAGCCCATGCGCCGTGCCTCGATGGCGGGAGCAAAGGGAACAGCAAATGGACACACGCGGCACTCAGGGAGAGAAAAGGTACGTACCCATGGTATTGCAAGTACCTGGTGGTCCGGCCCGGAGCTCTCGAATTGGGCTGAACGTCTCATGTTGATTGGTTAATTAGACCAGCTAAGCACTTGCCGACAGCTGGTGGGGAAATGCCCATGCTCCATCGAGGCTCCATCAAATGAGAAAAATCTCCACAACTACACAGGCTCCATCCCGTGACATCAGGAATGCGAGGCACTGCACCGCGACTTGCTGGATGGAAATGCAGATGCAGCTCGGGCGGCCGCCTGAGGTGTCTTGCGTTTTCGTGCCTGCCCCAGCTTCCAGGGCCTGGAATGCCTTCCCACAGGTAATTACCCAACTGCGAATTAGCGCTGGTTGCACGGATTACAGGCTGGCCTCGGAACTTCCACCTCGGGCCCGGCCTTGCACAAGTCGCAACTTCCAATCCATGTGCTTGCTGCCATGCCCGTGTGTTCCATGCACTCACTTGTACTATAGCGTCACTAAGGTAAGGTACCTTACCTCGAATCGGCACCCTGACGCCTTACCTACCTACTCGCTAGACTACCTAGAACTCCAACTCAACCTTACAACTTTAACATTACATGTCGCGCAAATTGGATTAAACAGATCCGGCTTTTCCTTTAGTCCCAGGCCGGCTCTCTACCTGGAAACATCATCTCCTTTCCATTTTCTTACCTACCTTACCTTTACCTGTACAAATCATTAATTGCCCTCCCCTTTTGCGCCCATTGTTGGCGCCTTATCTTAATGTCGTTCTTGCTGTTGATTTGATCTGTGCCGTTCCCCCCCTCCCCTCACCAGTCCGCGCGAGTCCTTCAATTGCGCAACTCATCGCATGACCACGCCCACCATGGACGACCTCTCGAGAGCAGAGTACCCGGCGATGCTGGTAAGCCTGGAGTTCCCCTATCAAATCGCCTGGGGAAGCAATTCTAACCATTGACCTGCTCCAGGCCAGCCTCCAGCCGAACCAAGCGGTACAAATATTCTCGGACCGGGTCAAGCGGATTTCAAAGGTCAACCAGGAAATTGCGGACTGGCTTCAGGTACGAATGCGCCGACCGCCCGAGATCATTCCGCCACCGTTATCAAAACAACAAAACCTGAAGAAAACAAACCACAGGAACGCAGGAAGGTCGAGGAGCAATATGTTGCCGGTTTGCGCAAGCTGCTTCTCTTCAAAGTCCCCAATGCCGCATCCGAGCTAGGGTTCGTCGCACCCAATTCCTCCCTCTCAATCCCGCGATACCGATTCCGAACACGCCTCCGATCCCGCCTTCGCTTCCGGTCACAGAACACTGACGATATCCATTCAATAGAGTCTTCCACGCACCATGGGACAAGATCCTCTCGTCGACCGATGCAATTGCCGCGTCCCACCAGCTATACGCCCAGCGCATCGATAAGGATGTCGAACAGCCGCTTCGCACCTTCCAGTCCCGCAAGGAAATGCAGAACATCAACACCATCAGCTCTAACCTCCACACCATGGCAAAGGAGCTCGACGATGCCGCCGAAAAGTCCGAAAAGCTCTCAAAGAAGGGCGGAAAGGCTAACAGCCAAAAGGTGGATGCGGCCGCGTCGAGGCTGGAAGCTGCCTCGCAGCAATGGGAATCACAGGCGCCATTTATCTTCGAAACCCTCCAGGCTTTGGATGAGCAAAGAACCAACCACCTACGCGATGTCCTGACTCAATTTCAGACCCACGAAGTCGACCAAGCCACTCGGACCCAGGCGGCAGCGGAGGAGGTTTTGAATACGATGCTTGAGGTCGACACTGGCCTGGAAATCCACAATTTCGTCAACAAAGCTACGGCTGGACGGCCCAAGCTTGACAGGAGGACTACCACGGCTCGACAATCGAGCTCTGCTGGTGGAGGTAGCCCGGCCGTGGGACCCCCTCCGGGCACTCCGCTGCACGATGATGACGGTATGAGCCAACACTCCGGCTTTAGAGATCAGTCAGGTATGTGCGGCTCTTTTCAGGGTGATGTGATACTGGCCCACTAACCAGTTGAAACAGATTCCAAGCTGCGTAGCCGTATTGGCACAATGCTGGGACGTCGGAGGCAGAGCATTCATGGGGGCTTCGGACAGTTGGGCCCCCCCAAGAGCCTTGGCTCTTTCACTCGCGGCCTCGGAAGCAGTCATGGCCAGACACTGTCTCCAAGGGGGTCTTCTCACAATCTAGCAGAGTCCCATAGTAACCGGTTGTCGTCTCTGGCCGAAAGACCGTCTACCTCGGATGAGCGGGTGAAGAGAGACAACATAAACGATTTCTTGCACAACGGTACAAATGGATTCAACTCGGGGGACAGACAGGCCGAATCTAGCCAGCCACGACCGACTTCTAACAACCTCACTAATGGTACAGCCGAGGATATTTTCGATGCCGCTCCCTCGGCACCTCCCGCCTCTAACCAGCAGTCCCAATCCCAAGAGGAGTCCACAAAGGACGCCGAGGGCTATACTATTCCTCAGTACTCCCATGACCCCATCGCCGAGGCCCAAAGGGAGGCGGCTGCTGAAGAACCTGATCACTTGTTCAAGCTCAACATCCAGAACGAGCCCATTGCGGAAGAGGACCAGGACGCCAAGCAAGCGGCCCTGTCGAACGTCGCCCATACACTCACGGCAATGGGACTGCCCAATCGCAAGGCAGGCACTGTTAGAGGCAGGAGAGACGTGCGTCATACTATGTACATCCCTGCTATGCCAGTACCGGAGCACTCCGAGAATCCTTTCCCGGCATCGCCATCACTCCCAGCTACGACTTCATCCATCATTAGGCCTACGCCACCAACCACCACCATCGGTTCAGAGCCAAGCCATGCTTCGCATGCTTCTGACAATCAGTCTATCCGTTCTGGAACGTCATATGGAGCCGGCTCTGCTTATGGTGGCATTGCGGCCCTGAGGCATCAGGACATTCATGGATCTGATTTTGGCCCAGGACTGCATTCGTCCATCATCGAGACCGTCTCCGCTCTTTTCCAGGATGGAGAGGCCAAGTCCGTCAAGGTTACTGGTGAAATCGCACTCTCATACAAGGCCGACCCTTCAAACTTCCAGGCCGGTAGGTACCATGCAGCGTGCCAGTAACGTTGAGCCTTTTTGCTGACAATATCCCTAGATAATCAAGTAATACGTCTCAACAACTTCGTTCGCCTTGAGTCTATTGGACCCAATCGCCTCTTCGTTACTAGCGACGCTGCTTTCCCCGATGAGTTCACCATAAACACCTCGCACCTCACGACGGCATCGACTCCCGCTTTCACCTACCGAGTGCACGCCGAGAACGACACCGCACTCGTATCCTCCCACTGCCCCATTATCATCAACCCCGTATGGAAGCCCCAAGGCGACAAGCTCGGTCTCTTGCTCCAGTATCGTCTTAACCCCTCCCTGACGTTACAGCGTCCAATTGTCCTGCACAACGTGACCTTCGTCGCAACCTATGAGGGTGCCCGCGCAAGTGGTGTCCAGACTAAGCCTTCCGGGACTCACCTGAAGGACAAGCATCTCGTGTACTGGCGGATCCCCGAGTTGACGCTGACGGACGACTGGGCCAAGATTATTTGCCGCGTCATCGGGGAGCAAAACGCTGAACCACAGCCGGGTCATGTTGAGGTCAGGTTCGAATACACGGCTCCTCCAGGGGCGGAAATGGGCAGCGGAATTTCGGTATCGAGGCTCGTGGAAGGCAAGGGCAAGGAAAAGGCGGAGGAACAGTCGGAGGAAGAGGACCCATTTGCGGATGACAAGGGGCCGATTTCGCCTCCGCTTGGCAAGGACGGCAGGACATGGGTTGATGTTCCTCTGTCGAAGAAACTGATCGGCGGGAAGTACGAGGCCAAGTGAACGGAAACTGCGTGCGGAGAAGAAAATTGGGGGGAATGAGACTGCGGTTATCTGTTTAGCCCATGTGAGGAAACATATGGCTATCTGATCTGTCTTGCCCGCAATTTATTCCCATGTAATGGATATATCCCTTTTATTTGTCTTTTTATGGTTGGTTTTGAACTAACGTCCTATGGTACGGTGTTGGCCTGTCACCCTTTTTTTTTTTTTGGCATGGCACTTCATTAGTCACTTACTTTACCCATCTATCTTTTCTTTTTGTCATAGCTACCACTGTCACGCCCCTCGAAAAATACCACTCTTGCTTTATGTTGCTCCTTGTACCATCATACCAGATTCTATGGACGCGGTTGTACATCTTTCTTATGGAAGACTTATGTACCCACCGTCATCACGACAATGGGCGGTTAGCCGGCTATATATACAACAATATCTGTCCGGTAGCCACGGAGGGAAAGAACAACCCGAAAAAGAAAAAAAAGAAGAAAAAACGAGCGCGGATAAGGGGGCCCTTTAGCGTAAAGGGGCATGCCGGCATGGTACAGTAGAGCTGAATACATAGACCGATGGAGATCTCGGGTAATCTCGCTAATCGACTTTCCACTTCATTTCTTAATTTAGGACTTTATATATATGTCTTTACACGTGCACTTGCGGATCCCTCCGGTGTCACTCAGGTACGCCACACTATGGCTTTGGCGTGGCGTACGTCGCTGCGACCTGCGGGTTTCAATGGTGTGACTGATAAGATAAAGCGAGCCTTCAAGAAACGCCGAAGGCAGGAACAAGGCCGGGGTTCAACAAAAACAGGCCCATAAGCTTGGCGCGTACAGCTCGCGCAATCACGTGAGCTGCCACTGCCCTTGGTTTAGACCTTACACTAGACACTTAGGTAGGTGTGGGTCTTTGTTTACTGTTACAACAATCTGCGCGCTTGTTTATCATCTTTGCCCATCCATTTCCCACGCAACCAGCAATTCCCAGTACGCCTTCTCTCAAAATGACTCTTTCAGAAGAACAGAAGGAGATCATTTCAGAACGCCCGCTCGGTCATACACTTGACCGCGTTCGAGACAATTTGCGCGACTCCAACAAAGCCGACGGCACGTACCGGGAATCTATTACATCCCTTTTAGGAGCGCTTATCTTGTCTCCCGCAGCACATAGTCTTTCCTCTCCCGACGGATACGGTACCGTGACAGTCAGACTATTGGGCCTGCGACAGGATGTCCAAGGAGGGAAGATAGCTAACCTCGACCCATTTCGCCCTCTCGTCCGCCTTGCAGTTGACAACTCCGACGGCAACCACGACGACAACGCTAACGACAATGCCATTTGGGCTGCCGTCTTTAGCGTCCTCGACACCTTGGCTCCCAGCACTCCCCCTTTTCGTCCCACCACGCTGCCTACATTCAAAGGAACGCCTATTAAGATCAGTTCGAGTTGGTTCGCTAATAGTGCAAACCGCATTGCCGTAGAAAGGGAATTGTTCGCGGAGATTGGAAATTGCACCTTCCGCAACGTAGCGGGGTTTATGGACAAGTTCTTTAATTATGAGAGCTGGGGCGACGAGTATAAAGCGATGTTACGGAACCTTATGATAGAGCATGATGGAAATAAATGGAAGGGCTTCCCGGCCACTCGTGATGAAAAACTTGTGTGGAAATGGCTTCGCTCCTTGGAAGATGGCTTTCTGGCCGACGCGCCATACATGTCACAGGTTGGCATTGGCTATATAGTGTGCATTCCGAGTTCTCTCTTGCAAGCAGAACATCGTCCTATCTTTTGTAGGTTTGGCCGTCTGGGCATATGCAGCCCAGCCTGTCATAATACAAACTCTAAACCACCACATTTGCTAGCCAATTTGGGAATGAAAAGGCTAGGTGGATATGTTTATACAAGCGCTAACTACGGAAGTGACTGCCACTTTTACATTCAAGCACGTTCTTATCATCAGAGAGTACAAGCGATCGTACAATTCAAGTAGATTTAAGGCAGATTTTTTGTAATTCGCCCGCTATGTACGAAGCGTTTTCGCTGACTAGCTAACTTGTTATTTTGTTTACGCCTTCCTTTTTAAGGTTCTTAAATTAAGCTCTTTGTTTTTGATTAAACTGGGCCATATAATTTAAGTCTTTTTAACATTTATGATCAATTGTATATATTTGCGCGAGCTCTAGTCAGTTATGTTACGATGGATTCTTATGCAATAGGGTTGGTGTGACGAACGGCAGTCTGAT